ATATATACACTGAATATATGTGTGTGTGTGACTCTTTACTAGGAGTTCCTGCACTCTGCAGATCCCATCTGTACTTTGAACGGCCTTTTACTGAATAAGCCCAGTAGAAGTAACTATGTTCACCATTACAGTTTTCATGCTCAATGGATTAATGGTTCTTGCTATATTTGATTACAGCATGCGAGCTGAGACTGTGGATCTCTACTATCAATGTCAATGTCACCTTGCTCTTTTAACCAGGCCATGAATGGTTTGCAGGTCTATTGTTTATACAACAAAAAAATTAAAAGAGGATAAACGAAGCGATTGCAATCTTTGCAAATGTGTTTGTTTTGCTCCTTGTCACAGTCAGCAAATAGAGAAGCATTTGTCTTGGTAGTAATGCAAACAAAAATTGGAGGAAGTTTTATTTTCTGTACATTTATCTTGGCACAAAATTAAATATTTGCAAGTTTAGAATTATAAATTGTACAGTGAAATAACTATATAATTTGGCAATGATAACAATATGTCAATATCTCCAAAATCTTATCTCATATATTCTTTTTTTGGCTGATCCAAAGAAGAGTTTTTTTTCATGGCCTTTCAGATTTACTGGCTAGATTACTTTAAAGTACACAAGTACTTGTATCAAACAGCATAATGCAAAGAGGTAAAGTAAGGATTACAGATGTAATGATAATGTCTACTTCCCCTGGCAGAAAACCCTACCATTGGTACATGCATATCATCATGGCAGCTCTAAAGGGATTGGGCTATAGGCAGGGGTGTAGCTACAAATCAGGGCCCCCAAAATTCTTGACATTTATCTGAGAATAAATTATGATCACATCAATTATAGATAGACTATCTCCCCCAAACAGTACATCTGGCCACCAGCAATGGACCTCCTGCCCAGCAATATATACCCCAACAATAAATCTTACATCTCCGTCAGAAATGGAAACAGCAACATACCTCTTTCTGCTCTATGTTCATTTGAGGCATTGATCAGCAATTTCTGACAGTCAGCCAACTGGAGAGCAGGATTTTCAGCACATTTTCCCAAATCTAGGGAAACCTGAGCTGCCCGCCCCACTGTACACTGAAGGTTTGTCATATTGCAGTGTGTTGGCTTTTAATGTCTAGAGTTTCGATGGTTTCTTTGTAATACCAAACTCCATTTTTCCACTTAATCAATCATTATATATACCTGTATGCCCAAGATAAAATATTTGTTTTAAATTCCTAGTCACTACAGCTGTCAGGCTATATGAAAATACAGGCAAAGAGGGCCTGTCCACTGTTGCATATGTAGAGGTTGAATCAGTGAAGACAGATAAATGATATTAGGTGGGGAGATACATGGCTGGGCAGAGGGAGGCACCAAGTGGGGTTCAGGAAACACACTGCTTCAGGCCGTTCGGTACAAACAAGATGCAAATCATTAAAGTGTTAGTGAAGCCAAAAACCTTTTTTTCTAGTTTGGGATAGAGTGGGTAAGGATTAGAACTCATCACGTTTTTACTGCTACCCCTGGTTCAGTTTGAGAGATTTATTCCAACTTCCTGTCCTGCTGACTAGGCATGAGCTTAGGTTCGGTCCGCACCTGAGCACCTATGAACAAGGAAGTGTCATAAGGATGTCCACCCAATCCACTGCAGGCCAGGCATTCCTCATCTTGCAGCTGCATGTAAACAAATAGGCGGGATGCTTGTGGTGATGTAATTTACCACATATGGCTACATAGCCACATTATATGAATTTAGTTTACCACATATAGGCATGTAGGGATTGGGGATTGGGCAGCATGAAAGGAGCTTCCTTCCATGTTCAGGAGGAGCTCCTTCTGGGCTCGGTGGAGCTCAGGTTTGAACCAAATTTGGTCCGAACTTGAATTCATCCCTACTGCTGACAACATTTTATCAGACAGGGGTAGATTAGTTTTAATTTTGTCTTTGTCCCTGTTGCAAATTTTCCTTCACTTCCTGTATGGTAAAACCATTGTCAGCAGGACAGTACATTGGGAGAAATCTCTCCAATAGAGTAAAAAGTCCTAATCATTTTCCAATCTATACAAACCTTGGCTTAACATATACTTTATGGGGGCTCTTCAAGGTTGGATCACCCAGAGTGTTATACTAATCAATCATCTAACAAAATCAGCTGGGTTTTCCATGAAAAGGCAACAGCAGAAAACTATGGTGAAGATATTTTGGCAATAGTTTCTAAGAAATATACAAAGCCAACTTGTGATTGAACATGCCAATTCAAATGTGAAGTATCAACACTGGCCCAAGCTGTCAGTGGGCTGTACATTTTCTATGTATTAGAGCATAAAACCACTCAAATCGATTCTGTAAAGGGTTACAATGAAAATATAATTATTAATATTATCTTAATAAGAGCTAAAAAAAAGGTGATTATTTGAATATTAGGGTTAATATTATCCCAACAATATCCTAACATGGATGAACAGCAGCATAATGGTTATTAATGCAAACAAATTTCATAAAGAAAAAGCCTAAAAGTGATTTGTTACAAAATAGGACAGCACCAAGGAGAACTCCCGAGAAAGCAATTATGTAGATAAAAGTTACAGTAGAGGTCTAAAATGCAAAGGGGCATTTTAATCATTTTGTACTTTGAATATAGATCCATGTTGACAAATTTAATGTATGAAAACAAAGAATGTGTTAAAAATTACGTGACAACGTAATGTCTAAACTGTTTTTTTTTTTTTTTTATGGAGTGGAAGAAAGTTAGAACCTATGTAAGGTTTTATTGCTGCCTGCTCACTCTCTTTTTTTGTCTTGGTGACCACTGTCACCATTACTAAAGGTGATGGGAAATCCAAAAATATGTTACTACAACAAGAATATACAGAAAATCCAATGGGAATATTGCTCTGTTGACAACTATCTAAAAGCTAATTTTCCTTACTTTGGAGAGATTGTCTCCTACTTCCTGTTGTGTCTGTAGGAAATGAGTTTTAATTCTTCCCTAATCTATTCAGAATTTAAAAAAAGAGTGTTTTGACATTAGATATACTTACATTTTTCCTTGATCCCCTGTACCTAGTTGGCAGTCTTGGCAGGAGACAGAGCTGAAGAATAGGTTCAGGAATCTGCCACCAGAATACAGAAGACAGACTCAGAGCTCAACAAATTCAAGACAACCATCAAGGCCAAGTCTAAGTTCACTAGTAATGTGGTTTAAAAAGTCAAATAGACATTTCTTAATTAGGTTGAACTTTTGGAGTTTTTCCTTACTTGCCCAGAGAGTGATAGATGTGTAATCTGTTTGCTTTCTGCCATTTAGGCTAGGTTCACACCTAGGCGACTCCTGCAATGCGCGCGGTTTTGTGCACGATTGCCGCGCAGTCCGGAGGCGCCCAGGTGTGAACCGATCACGCTGTGGGTGCCATTATTTTCTAATGGCACCCCAGTTGCGCAGGGCAGATCACGCCGCGAGTCGTGTGTCGCAAAAAAAGGTACTTGTCACGCGGATGTCACCCCATTGAAATCAATGGGGCTGCTCGGCAATCGCTGTGTGCACCTGCATAGGTGTTGTGTCGTGTAGTGCAGGTGTGAACCTAGCCTTATGATCACTAGAAATCTAAACATGTGATTTTTTTGCCCAATATGATTTATATGTATCAGAAATACTGTTTTCAGACTCTCCATGCTGAAAAACCTGTTGTTTACCCTGTAAACCTTTGCCATACCCAACTCATTATACAGTCCGAAATTACTCAATTATCATTATTATGCTTGCATCAGTCTCATCACGAGTGACTACTGACATGAATTGTGAAGGCCATGGATCTACCAAGGTGTGACATTAGCGAATCTGGTGTGATCCTATTTGCACTGAACTCTTTTTTTCCTCCATCTCTTCTGCAGTGGGCTGTCTATATTTCTAAAACCATCAGAGGAATTATTTTATTTGAAACAGGAAGCAGGAATACTTGGAGGAGGAATTGTGTAAAATAGAAATTTAGATCACTAGATCACAGAATCAGTAGGATGGAGATAAATCAATAATATCTGATTCCTCTTTACATTATTATTCCCTGGAGTTCTCCTTGAAGATTAAGACCGCTAAAAAAAACTGATAACTCATTTTGGTGGATCCAGGCAGGTTCAGTCACCCACCAGTTATTTAGCTATTTGTAACCCCTTGCAGGCAAACTTCAGGCCACATGCACATCAATTAACAGGTCACAATTGACCTTTGATATATTCTATTAGCAGGAACAAGACCACATTTTTTGCTTGTACCACAGTTAGAGCATCTAAATGTGGTACAAGCAAAACCATCACAAGAGACAGAGCCAGGAACAAAAGGTTTCCAGGATCCCTGAAGTGTATTAGAAGCTGCTGGATGACTGAACCCATTAGTATTTATTTAACTTTTAATTATCAGAAGTTTTTGGTGGCAAGTTGACCTTTTATGATTATTCAGAGATCATCTTACTGTAATATAACATAGGTGTAGTACATTGTAAAAAAAAAGTTTCAAGTAAACTGTCATAGGTAATGTCTACAGCGTATTAGTTTTTGAAATGCTTTTTTAAAGTCTTCATTGAAGATGGTATAAATCAGGGGGTTGATTAAGGAATTGAGGTATCCAAGCCACGTGAGGAAGTTGGACATGTCATCAGATATATAACATGCATCACAAATATTTACGATAAACTCCTTAACGAAGAATGGAAGCCAGCAAACCACAAACGCCCCCAAGATCAAGCCTAAAGTGGTGGCAGCTTTGCGTTCTCTATTGCTGGAAATCCTTTGTTTCCTCAAGGCTTTCTCGTGTTTCATTTCAGTTAACGGATTTCTTATTGTAATATGGATCTTATCAAAATCTGTCGAGTGGTCCGAGAAAGACTTTTCCGCTATACATAAGGTGGAACTTTTCCCACATGCCTCCAGAAGAACCTGGCCGTTCTGTTCTTTCTCACATCGACTCATATTTCTTTTGTGATATAAGGATTTTGCAGCTTTGTAAATTTTATAATAAAGAATAAGTATCAACACCAGCGGGATATAAAAGGCTCCAAATGTGGAGTAAATCGTAAAAACAATGTGCTCATGTTTGATGATGCATTCATCTTCGCGGTTGTGCATTTGGTGCCGCCATAACAATGCCGGCATAGAGATAAAGATAGATATGATCCATACTACAGCAATCATAAAAGCAGCATGCTTAGGCGTTCGTTTTCTGGAATATTCCACAGCATCGGTAATAGCTCTGTAGCGATCCAGAGCAATTGCTGCAAGGTGTAGAATTGAACATGTGCAACACGTAACATCTACGCTCAACCAGATGTCGCAAACAGCTTGACCCATAACCCAGGTTTCTTTCATGATGTACATGATACTGAAAGGCATGACCAGGACAGCAACCAGAAAATCTGTTACAGCAAGGGAACATATCAGATAGTTGGCGGGATGGTGGAGTTTCCTTGTCACAATTATTGCAGCGATTACCAGAGAGTTAATTGCAGTTGTCATTATTGTCAAGATAGAGAGTGTCAGTGAAATTAGAATTTGGCTTGTGATCCCTTTTGATAGTTGTCCTGAAGTGCAGTTGTATTCTGTTGTGTTTAGTACATCCATATTCTTTCTAAACCCAAAGTTTACAGTGAAAAATCGGTATCTAAAAAAAAGAAAGATGATAGTTAGATATATAATTATCAAATTAAAGAAACCTAATGACTTTAACCCTTTCAATGATAATGCCACATTTGTTTTTTTTCATGTTTTACAAATATCTTAAAATGCAGATTTTAGGCATGAAAATTACCTAAAACCCTCAAAATAATATATATATTTATGAAGTAGAGACACCATAGAATAAAACTGTGGCAGTTACAATTTTTTAATAATTAAAAAAAATCCATATATTTAGTAAGCAAATACTCAAATTAAGTGCATGAAAACACAATACAATACCTTATATTTGTAAAATATAAATAACCAAAGATGGCAACCTGCAAAATTGAGCACACCTACATACTCACATGTAGAAGTGATCAGATGGATTTACAGCCATCAAAATCATTTCTACTACAAAGTCAAAAGCCATATTTGAAAATGTAAACAGACTTGTTGACATGCTGGTGCTTCCAATAGTTATGTTGGTTGCAGCGAAAAAGATCTTTATCTCTTTTGCGGCAAAAAAATGGTCTTTCAGTTTTTGTTTTTGATGGTTAAATGAATCATATAATGTTGTTTTAGATCTCTTGAGGCATCCGTGAAAATATCAAGTTACCGGGTCTACCCAACTGCCTCTGCCACTACAAAGCTATAGGATGGTGTATTTTTCTACTGATGTTTCCTCCAAATTGTTGAAACTTATAACCGGGTTACACCAAACTCTGGAGTTACATTTTACAAATGCATTCAAGTACCTTAACTATTAACAAAAATTTATCTTATTTGTGTATCACTCAGCTGTAGATACTGAAATCATCTCTGAATTGGTGCTGACACTGCCCTTCCTTCTGGAGGGTGGCTACTTTTGTTCCCCATGGTCCCTGTGTGTGTTTTAATGTAGTCACCGCTCCAAGCTCGCTCCTTTCATAAACTATAATTGAAATACAAATTAGTAAACTAAATGTGAGATTGTAGTCCATTATGGGAGCGAGCTTGGAGCAGTGGCAACAACACACACAGTGACCATGGGGAACAAAAGTAGCCATCCTCCAGAAGGAAGGACAGTGTCAGCACCAATTCAGAGATTATTTGAGGACCTACAGTCGAGTGATACACAAATAAGATACATTTTTGTTAATAGTTGATGTACTTGAATGTATTTTTAAGATTTAACTCCTGAGCTTAGTGTCACTTTAAGGCTTTGTGGGATGGGAAAGAGACAAACCACTGTAGTGAATTGTGTCACTGAAGTCCAAGAAAGATATAAAAAAAATTCTACAAAACACTGTCTACAAAAAATTAAAATATCAAGTGACCTCACGAAAACGTGTTTGATGTGGTGAGCGGGAATAACTGAAACTGTGAAATACAGCATTTGTTAAAGTGCACCAAACATGGAAACATAGTGATAAACATAGGAAAAATAGTAGCACTTATTTTTCAAATCAAACGTGGTATTGTAGTATTTGCACCATTGCTCCCTTTCCATGACTTATAAATGGCTTACTGGTGTTATCTTGAAAGAGATATGAGTACTCTGTACAAGCACTCTGACCAAAGAAACTTAAGTGTACTGTTGTGTAAAAAGATATTTACATGGTGAAAAATACAGTGCTATGTCTAATGTGGTTTGATCCCAACAGGTCAGTGAAGACATACATAACCAACTACGGAATGCTCTGATGATAACTGATGTCTGAAGCAACAGATGCCCTATATTTCCCTAACATGTAAAATGTAAATGAACTGAAGGGATTAGGTTAGAGCCATTCTCATCTTTGATAGCCCACTGAGCAACTCCTGATTTTACTGATACATTAGAGGGAGCAGGGTTCATTAACATCAATGTTTTAATTTTCCGAGGGGCAAAGAAAGGGCACTGAATACAAAAGAATACCTAATGAACACATCATTAAACACAAACATGAATTCAAATTAAGCAGAGGATACACATTTCCAAGTATCAATTTTATCAGAAGACACTATTATAATTAACGATGAGAGAATCAAGCACAAATTCTGTATGTGCTTTAGCAAATGTTAGAAATTAAAATTCCACCTTTGACCTGTTTTTCTATAGTCCCCCTCTTTGAAGCTCCCAATTTGACTTTGCTGTAAGATTGCAGTTATTTGGAAAGATCTAGAGAGTCACAACCTTGTTGTTGTGAAAAATGTGCTCCTCCTTTAGAAAACCAGACTTGAGAGATCCTTCTATTTACGGTGATGGTGTCTTGGAAATGAACCTGTTATTAATCAGTTAAACAAGTATACCAGTGGAATACAGCTGTATTGAAAAATAAAGACACACCAGTGTCAGTCATCAAGATATTTCTGCTTTATTCAAAAACGAGTCTCCTCATATACTGTGCATTGAAGAGCTAAATTGCATACACGTGAAACAAGACAAGATCTTTATCAGCTTATACCAGACCTAGAACAAAGACCCATGACAAGATCCTTACCAGGACACCGGACTTTGGGAGCTAACAGTCTGTTCCAGTCACGAGAAACTCAGCCCTGATAACAGAACAATTTATGTCTTTTAGACAGTCACAATGTATGTACAGTAAAAGGAGGGATTATCAGCCTCTCCTCCTATGAAGTATAAAATGAACTCTTTATGAGATACAAAATGGAGGTTATAAAGCAAAATGGAATCAGGACAATACACATTTCTACTACAATGGCTATTTCTATCAAAAGGCTTGGGAGAATGATGGGTTTTTACAACTGCAGTTACCATTAATATGTATAATAGGACACCACTGTTGAATGATCTTTTAAATACAGGTCCACGTTAACCCATCAAGGTGTCAGGATTAAGATAATCTGCATATTATCAGCAATTCCGAAACCAGAAAAATAATCAATACACAATTATATTCAGAGATTTGAGTCACATCTTTGATATCATTTCAAATTGAGATCCTCAGCAATAAACATGATAACAGGTCAATGCCTGCTGCCCATGCTACGCTTTACTATAAATTACTTTTGTTTCATATCCCACTTTGTGTCACAAACACATCTCAGCTCCTTCATTATTTTTTCAAGCACCATCAGTATGTAACTTAGGGGTCTATTCACGAAGCTGCCGAGGGATCTGGCCGTAGCTTCGGCCGATCCTTCAGCTAGCTTCGGCCCCAGGACCCCTTCGGTTCAGTAGAACCGAGGGGGGGCTATTCACAATAGCCCGTATAGCTCCCGATCATGGCGGAGCGGCTCAGTCGAGCC